AAGTTTTATTCTTTATTTCATTTAATTCAAGAAGAGTCAAAAAAACTGAAAAGAAATAATTGAAAAGGAAAAAAATTGAAAAAAACAGCAGCAGCAACACAAGCAGTAACGTATAACAGGGGGTTATAAACGGGGGAAGCAGCAGCAGCAGCAGCGGTGGCAGCAGCAGCAGCAGCAAACTGAACAGCAGCAACAGCAGCAGCAGCAAGAGCACGAGCAGCACCTGTTCCAACAGACGTAGCAGCATTATTGCCAACAGAGAAACCAGCTGATGCAATAGGAGCAGCAGAGGGAAACAACAGCAGCAGCAAAATCAGCAGCAGCAGCAGCAAAATCAGCAGAAGCAACAGCAAAATCAGCAGCAGCAGCAGCAAACCTCAAGAATCCCCATTGTGTCTTGCTGCACAGGAAAAAGGGGAACAGCAATAAGGGAATCGGCAGCCCCCTAGTGGCTCGATGCTGCTGCTGCTGCTGCTGCTGCCTTTGCTGCTCCTGCGGAAGCTCCTGCTGCTGTTGTTGATGGTCTTGCAAATGCTTCGGATGCCGCCGCTCCTGCTGTTGCGGGCGTTGCTGCTGCTGCTGCTGCCGCTGCTGCCGCTGCTGCTGCTGACGTAGATATGTGGGGCTGCGAGTAGAACAATCGTTCTTGCTGCCCTTGCTGCTGCTGCGGTCCACGCCGCTGTTGCTGCTGCTGTTGCTGCTGCTGTTGCTGCTCCTCTTCGGTTCCTGCTGCTGCTCCCGTAGAAGCTGCTGCTGCTCCTGCAGATGCTGCTGCTGCTCGTGTAGATGCTAATGCTGCTGCTGCCTTCTCCTCCGGCGCTTCTTACTTGAGTATAGGGCAGCCCATGCGGCAGCAGCCTCTACACTGCAGCAGCAGCAGCAGCAGCAGTAGAAGGAAAACGCGGAGAAATCAGCAGCAGCAGCAGGACACGAGGTGCTGCAGTTTCTTAAAATCAATCTCAATATTTCCTACAACATTTCTTTTGTGCATCAAGGAGACCAGCAGCAGCAGCAGCAGCAGCGGCATTCCGAATCCAGGGTCACGGGGGGCCCCCAAGATGGGGGGCCCCTCAAGACCCTTCACGCGGCCTTGCTGAGCCTTTTGCCTATTTGATCATTATTGAAATTTAAATAATTAAATATTTAACTGACAATTAATATTCAAATGGGCTTGAAAAACAGTTGTGGCCCTCTTTTTGCTGGAGTTGCTGCAGCAGCAGCAGCTGCTGCTGCTGCAGTATCGGGGCCTCAGCAGCTGCTGCTGCAGTGTAGCTACACTTGAGCACAAACAGCTGCCTCACGCCTGCAGGCCCTTTAAATATGGCTTCATCTGTTGCCAGCGCAGCATTTGCTGCTGCCGCAGCAGCAGCAGCAACCGCTGCAGCTGCCCGACCCTCCTCTTCAATGGCAGGAGCAGCAGCAACAGCAGCAAAAGCAGCAGCTTCTGCTGCTGTAGGTGGCCAGCTTGCTGCTGCTGTTCATCCAGGACGGCGTGTTCCCCACCGGTTAGGCCCGTCAGCAGGAAGAGCAGCAGCAGCTGTCCCTGCAGCAGCAGGGGCGGCAGCAGCAGCAGCAGCAGCTGCAGCTGCGGCAGCAGTCACACGGCCTACTTGCTGCTGCTGCAGCAAAGGCAGCAGCTGCTGAATGGCGGCTCCTGAAGCAGCAGCAGCAGCAAACGAAGCAGCAGGAACATCAAGAGCCAGTGTCTATTCCGGGGCCTTTGTTTTGCTGCTTAGGCATGCACGCTTGTGCTTCTTTCCCTGCCCCAGTGCAGCAGCAGCAGCAGCAGCAGCAGAAGCAGCATCGGTGGCCGAGTGATTCTGCCCTAGAAGGCGTGGCTCAGTCGGTCCTCCGTGTACTGTCAAGGAGCGGATCTGGTAGCAGCAGCAACAGCAGCAGCAGCAGCAGCACGCCAGCAGCAGAAGCAGCAGCAGCAGCAGAGGTTCGCCTGGTTGAGGTGTATAGGCAGCTCCCCACAGATCTCCTCAGGGCCCACTTCGCCGGCCAGTGCATGCGGCTGTTGGGGCTGCAGCTAAAATGCTGCAGCAGCAAACATGCAGCAACAGCACTTGCTGCGCTGCTGCGGCTGCTGCCGCAGCTTCCCGCAGCACCGGCTGCAGCGCAGCAGCAGCTGCTGCTGCTTCGAGACATCAAACGCTGGCAGCAGCAGTGTAATCTCTTGCAGCAGCAAGAACTGCACCGGCAGGATGAGGCGGCTGTTGCTGCTGCTGCTGCTGACCCTGAGCCGAACTGTGGCACTGAAGCAGCAGCAGCAGCAGCATCAGAAGCAACAGCAGTCAGTGCAGCGGGAGTCTCAGAAGAAGCAGCTGCAGATCATATCTACCGCAGATGGCCTATCTTTAGCAGCAAACAAGAGCCCTCAGCAGCTGCAGCATATTTGCTGCTTGCTGCTGTTCTGCTGCGCGCAAAGCAGCTGCTGCGCCGCCGCCGCCGCAGCAGCAGCAGCAGCGGCAGCAGCAGGACAGTAGCTTCCGTTGTTTCCGCGGCAGCAAAAACAGCGGAGTTGGCGGCCCCCCTGTCGATTGCTGCTGCTCCAGGTGCTGCTGCTGCGGGTACTGCTGCTGCTGCTGGCGCTGAAGCTGCCTCAAGCGCAGCAGCAGCACCGGCAGCAGCAGCAGCAGCAGCAGCAGCAAGAGCCGCAGCGCTGCAGCTGCTGCAGTCCCCAGACACAGATGAGGCTTTGCTGCTGCACCGCGAGATGTACAAAGGCTCTGACTTGGTGATGCTGCTGCAGGCAGCAGCAGCAGCGCCAATGTGGAGGCCGGAGGTGGGCTTCCCGCTGCTCTCTTTGCTGCTGCTGCTGCTGCTGCTGCTGCTTCAGTCCATGCTGCCGCCGACACCCCTTTGCTGCTGCTTCTGCCAAGAGCTGCTGCTGTTCTGTTGCTGCTGCTTTTCTCAGTTCCTGCGGAGTCTTCCTAGTCTGCTGCTGCAGCACATCGCATTCCTTTCCCCGCAGCAGCTGCTGCTGCTGCTGCACTTGATGAAGTGCCTGCGGGTTTGTAGGCCTGCTGCCCGCACTGCAGCAGCACCAGCTGCGGCACCAGCAGCAGACTCGGCCACAGCACCAGAAGGAGCAGCAGCGGCAGAAGCAGCAGCAGCAGCAGCTGCAGCAGCAGAAGAGGTCCATTGGTCTGAGGTTGCTGCAGAAGCTGCCCCTCACCTGCTGCGGCTGCTGCGCGCCGGCCGCTGCAGCAGCAGGGACGCAGCAACAGCGCTGTCCCTATACACCTCGTGCGCTGGTGCTGCTGCTGCTGCTGTTGCTGCTGCTGCTGCCGCGTCTGGCGCACTTCATGCTGCGGCTTCTTCACCTCTTGCTGCTGGCCTGTCTGTCTTTTGCTTCTGCTGCTGACACTGCCTCTGACCTCCTTGGCCGCGCCCCATATTCTGTTATTTGCTGCTGCTGCTGTTGTTTTGCTGCTGCTGCTGCTTCTTTGCTGATGCTCAGGGAGGAGTGGCGCAGCGCCGAATTCCCTTCAGCAGCAGTTGTTGCTGCTGTTGCTGCTCAGCTGCCTGCGCTTCTGCAACAAAGCAGCAGCAGCAAATGCAGCAAAGGGAGTTTGGCCGACACTCTGCTGCTTCTGCAGGTTTTGCTGCAGTGGAGGGCCCCACAGCCAGATGTGTGGGGCCCTCCGTTGCTGCGCAGCATAGCGGCAGCAGCAGCAGCAGGGGCAGCACCAAGGCGTGCTGCGCAGTCTCTGCAGCACCTTGCAGCTGCAACAGGTGCTTTGGCTGAGCTGCAGCTGCTGCAGAACCTCTATTGCTGCCAGGTGCTGCTAGATGAGGAGGCGCCTGGCGACCCTGCTGCTGCTGCTGCTACTGCTGCAGTCCCGCTGCAAAGGCCGCCTTTGGGCGGGTTCGCTGCTGCAGTGGCTGCTGCGCTTCAGCCTTGGCCCTCGTCTGGCAGAAGCACCATCAGCAGCAGCAGCAAGAAGGAGCTGTTGAGTGGTCTTATCTCATGCTGGCAGCAATTGACCAGGGGCTTTGCAGCAACAGCAGCAGCAGCAACAGCCCAACAGCAGCAGCAGCAGCTCTTGTCTGCAGTGATGCTATGCTGCGCGGCCTGCGGTGTTTTGCTTCCTCATTCTGCAGCCGAGCATCTTGTGAGACTGCTGTTGCTGCTGTTGTTGCTGTCATTATCACTGCAGCTGCTGCTGCAAGCGCCATGCTGACGTGCCCGTTAGCTGCTGCTGCTGCTGCTGCGGATATGTTTGTTGCAGCAGGTTCTGCTGCAGCAGCACACATCTGGAAGCGGGTCTTCAAGTGTGTCAACAGCACTGCTGCTGCAGCTGCTGCGCAGCATGTTGCTGCATCAGGAGTACAGTGGAGCCTTGTCACAGCACCAGCAGCAACAGAGGCAGGGAGAGACTACTGACGCAGCAGCAACAGCAGCGGCAGCAGCAGCAGAGCTGCAAAGGAGGCGATTGAACCTCCAACAGCGGGCTGAGGCTGCCGCTCTCCTGTGGCGTCTCTCTGGTTCAGATTCTATCGGCAGGTAAGCAGCAGCAGCAATAGCAGCTGAAGCAGCAGCAGCAGCAGCAGCAGCAGTAGCAGCAGCAGCAGCAGCAGCAGCAGCAGCAGCTTAGGACATTGCCATTTGTGTGGCTGAAGCTGCCGCTGCTGTATTGGCTTTTGCGGGCTTTGTAACTGGCCGCACCTCATGAGCTGCTGCTGCTGCTGCTTCTCCCACTTGTTGGGCTGGTGCTGCTGCTGCTGCTGATCTTCATCTTGCATGTTCTGCATATGCGCCGCCGCTGCTGCTGCAGCTGCTGCTGCTCCTGCTGCAACTGATAGCTTTTCCTTTTGTCTTTTAACTGCAGGGCTATTTTAATGGGATCACACCTGGCTGATGGAGCCTCTTCTGCTGCAGTTGCTGCTGCTGTTCCCACAGCCTTTAAAAGATATGCTCCTGCAGCTCGTGCAGCTTCTGCTGCTGCTTCTGGTGCAGCAGCGCAAGGGACTTGGGAGCTTCCCACTGCAGCAGCAGCAGCGAGAGAGCGGCATCACACGAAGTCTGCTAAGCTGCTGCTGCAGTCCGTACCTTCGGCCGACAGCAGCATTGTGAGGCGGGCGTTTTGCCTTTCTGCTGCTGCTGCTACTGCTGCTGCTGCTGCTGCGGCTAGTGCTATTGCGATGCTTCTGCTGCCGCAGCTGTTGTGGCTGCTGCCAGTGCTGTTACAGTGCTGCCGCTGCAGCTCCCCCGCTGTTTGCTCCTTCTTGCTTCCGCAGGACTCGTTGGAGGATTTGCTGCCTTCACGAGGCAGCAGCAGCAGCAGCAGCAGCAGGGCACAGCAGCAGGGAAGGAGGCAGCCGCACGAACGGCAGGACAGCAGGCGTCAGCAGCAGCCAGCAGCAACAGCAGCAGCAGCAGCAGCTTGTGTGCCTATGCCGACTCCCTGTTTTGCTGCCTCATCTCACCAAGCGCAGCGGCAGGAGTTCCTGCCAAGTGCTGCTGCTGCTGTTGCAGCAGCAGCAGAGCAAGCCTCACGTTATGCTGTTGCGCCGGAAGCTTTGCTGCTCCTGCTGCTGCCGCCCCCAGCAGCAACAGCTGCTGCAGCAGCGCCAGCAGGAGAAAAGCCACGCTCTCCCAACAACAGCAGCAGTTTGAAAAGCTGCACGGGAACGGGCGTCAGCAGCAGCAGCAGCAGCTGCTGCTGCTGCTGCGCATGCGTGCGGGCCCTTTGCTGGCATGAAGATCGGTGGTCTGAAGAGGAAAGAAAAGTGGACATCTCCAAATGGGCAGAAGCTCTGCAGTCCGTCTGGGCTTCTGCTGCTGTTGCTGCTGCTGGTGCTGCTGCTACTGTCGCACCCCTTGCTTTTGTAGCTGCTGCAGTTTCTGCTGCTGCTACTCTTGTTCATGCTGCGGCTGATGCAGCTCCTGCTGCTGCTGCCGCTCTTGATGCTGCTGCTGCTGCGTAATTTGCTGTTGCAGCAGCTGGTGTGTGTGCAACATTCGTAGATCACTTCGTACAGTTTGTGGTGCTGCTCCGGCATCTGCTGCTGCTGTTGCTGCTGCTGCTGCACAGCTTCGTGCTTTCTTTTGTTTCTGCGGCATTTTGCAGGGAGCGACACGCGCTGCTGCAGCAATTGCTGCGGTGGCTGCAGCAGCAGCAGCAGAAAGAGCCGCAGCACTGCCCTTCACCGCGTCGACCAGGTATATTCGCAGCAGCTGCAGCAGCAAGATACACAGCAACAGCGGTGAAGACAACGGCAGCAGCAGCAGAAGCAGCAGCAGCAGCAGAAGCTGCTGCTGCTCAGCTTTTTACATTTGCCTTTTTCTTTGGATTTGGTTTTTGCTGCTTTGTGCAAATGAGCAGCTTTTCCAGTTTTGTGCGGCGCTGCATCTGCGCCTCTTTCCATTGTGCTGCTGATTTGCCATTTCTTTTATTTCTGCATTATTTTATTCTTTTATTTTATTTTATTTTTTATTTTTTCTCTTTTTTGCTTCTTTTTTTCTTTTCTTCTCAGCTCAACTTCTTCTGTCGCTTTTCAAGAGCATTGCTGAAGCCATTACTGCTGCAGGTCAGACTTCCGCGGCAGCAGCAGCAGCAGCAGCGACAACGGTTGCTGCTGCAGCCTGCGCGCCTGCTGCTGCAGCTGAGAACTAAACATGCAGACGCAGCAGCTACTGCCACAGAAGCAGCTGCAGCAAGATGGCTTCAGTTGTGTTCAGTTTGGTGCAGGTTTTGCAGTGGGGGCAAAGCTGCTGGAGGGGTTCCCTAACTGCTGCGAAGAGCAGCAGCAGCAGCAGCAGCAGCAGCGCCAGCCGTTGGAGGAGCAGCAGCGGCAGCAAGCGCAGCAGGCGCAGCAGCTGCAGCGCCTGCTGCTTGAACACAGCCCCTGGCAGCAAGAGGCTGCTGCCCCAGCAGCAGCAAACCATGTGCTGCGGCGAGTCGTTGCCGCTGCTGACATCGGCTGCTTACAGCAGGGGGTGCGGATCGACGTTGCGCTGCAGCTGCTGCCGACTACACCGCCCGGGAGCAGCAGCTGCAGCAGCAGCAGCAGCAATAGCAACACCACAAGCCGCAGCAACAGCAGCGGCAGTAGCAAAGGCGGAGAGCCAGCAGCAGCAGTGCCATCAGTAAGGCGCGTTGCGCTCTTTTTGGACAGAGGAAACAGCAGCAGTATCAGCAGCGCTGCTGCTGCTGTTGCAGCACTGGAAACTTTGCTGCTGTCAGTGAAGGGCTGGGAGGTATACGAGCTTCAACTGACGCCTGCTGCAGCAGCGGCAGCACCAGCTGCTGCAGGAGCAGTGTGCAGCAGCAGCAGCATGAGCCGCAGCAGCGCGACTAGCAACCGCATGAGCCGCAGCAGCACGACTAGCAGCAGCATGACCCGCAGCAGCACGACTAGCAGCAGCAGCAGCACAGGCCTCCCTGCGGAGGCGGTTGCCTCGCTGCTGCCTTTGCTGCTGCGGCCTTTTAAGTAGCAGCAACGGCTCCAAACTGCGCGCAGCGTTTATAGGCCCGCGGGGCCCCTTTTAACTTCTTAAATGTTCAAATTGCATCCTTCTGAGGGGCCCCTTGAGGGCCCCACGGGGGCCCTTGGGGGCCCTTAGAGGCCCCTGGGGGCCCTTAGGGGCCCTTGGGGGTCCCACGAAGACCCTTGTGGGCCCCTAGGGGCCCTTAGAGGCCCCATGGGGGCTCTTGGGGGGCCCTTAGGGGCCCCCGGGGGCCCTTGGGGGCCCCACGGGGGCTCTTGGGGGCCCCACATGGGCCCCCAAATGGCGCTGCTTGCTGTTGAGAGACAAAGAGGGTCCGTGGGCTGGCTGAGTGTCTAGTGTTGAAGACTTTTGTTGCAGCAGCAGCAATTCTGTGCTGCTGCTTTTATTTAAAATGTAGAAAGTTGCTGCTTTTTTTTAAATGTAGAAAGCTGCTGCTTTGTTTAAAACGCGGAGAAAGGATTAATTAGAAGCAAGTGAAGCAGATAAACCAAAAGGGGCTCAAAGGCGTTTCTTAGTTTAGGGCCCTATGCAGCGCAGCAGGGCCTCGCAGCTGCTGCTGCTGCTGCTGTTGCTTCTTTATGGCATTCAGGGGAAGTTCAGTTGGCCCATTAGAGGCATTTAAACCCTTTAAAAGGGTTTACTAGTGCCTCTTAGCTAGGGGGCCCCTTTCTAGGGCCCTCCTTGGGCCCCTGGGACCGGTTCCCTTTTTCTGGGGGCCCCTGGGGCCCCCTTGGTCCCTAAATGCCCCAGGGGGACCCCTGTGGGCCAGGGGGCCCACAGGGGGCCCCCTGGGGGACCCCCGGGGGCCCCAGGGGGCCCCCGGGGGTCCCCCAGGGGCTCCTAGTTTTCTTTTTAGTTTTGGGTAATGGGGCGGACTTGTTCTGTGTGCCAGGAGAGGAAGACCTGCTGTTTTTTGACCGGGAGAGGTGGCGGGTCTTCTTCTCCAGCTGCTGCTGCTGCTGCTGCTGCTGCTGCGGGCTCCACAGGCACCACGCGCTGCACGTAGACTCCTGCGACCTCAGTTCCCGCAGGGAAGCTCCAGCTGCCTTCCCCTTGGGGTTTGCTGCAGCAAAAAGTGCCTTTGTATTTTGTGCCATCTTGCCACAGCCACTCCCCCTCCACCATGTGGCCCTCCACCCACTCGCCCTTCAGCTGCAGCAGCAGCAGCAGCAGCAGCAGCAGCAGCGTCAGCAGGAGCGGCAGCAAATGACGCATGAACGAGCTGCTGCGGTGCGCGCTAGCGGTTAAAAGCAGAGGTAGCAGATGCAGCAGCAGCAGACGCAGCAGCGCCACTGCAACTGCGCTAGTAGCAGCAGCAGCAACAGCAGCAAAGGCAGCAGAATCATCATCTATAGCAGCTGCAGCGGGCGCAGCAACAGCGGCGGCAGCAGGCAACAGCAGCAGCAGCTCCAGGAGCCGCAGCAGTGCAAACAGCAGCGGCGGCGCCAGCAACAGTAAAGGCAGCAGCAGCGACACCAGCAACAGTAGAGGCAGCAGCAGCAGGGGCAGTGCAAACAGCAGCAGCAGCAGCAGCAGCAGTAGCAGCAGCAGCAGTAACACGATACTTCGCATTTGATTTACTTTCTGTTTGGTTTGGCCAAATGTATAAGTGCCTCTGCCATGGTAAAGACCATTTTTGAATTTCCCAAAATAAAAATCTCCATTTGCAAAGCGCCGAGTGCCCTCGCCTTCCCTTAGGCCGCACACGAAGTCGCCTGGCAGCAGCAGCAGCAGCAGCAGCAGCAGAATGGGGGAAACCGGCTAAGATGCAGCAGAGCAGCAAATATGCAAATGGACGGGAAGACAGAGGCGACGCGGAGAGCCCAATAGGAGGGAAAGCTCAGCTGCTCTAGCAGCAATAGCTGCAGCAGCAGCAGTTGCTGCTGCTGCTGCTGCTGCCGCTGCTGCTGCTGCTCGCGGCTCGCGTCATATATAGTTCCCTTATGGCAGCTTTGTCAGTCTGGTGGCAGCAGCCCCTCTCGCAGCGGCAGAAGCGGCAGCAAGAGCAGCAGCAGCAGCCACGGCAGAAGCAGCCGCAGTGGCATCCACAGCAGCAACAGCACCAGCAGCCGCAACAACAGCGCAAGAGCAGCAGCGCCAATAACACAGGAACAACAGCGACAGTTCAGCAGCAGCAGCACCACCAACAGCACAACAGCAGCAGCACCAACAGCACAGCGGCAGCCGCAGCAATATAACAGCAGCAGCAGGAGCACAGCAGCAGCAGCAGCAGCAGCTGCTGCTGCTGCTGCAGCAGCAGCAACAGGAGGCGGAGGCTGCGGGTTTACCGTGGAAGAAGCCTCCGTTTCGGAAAGTGATCTTCCCCCTTCCGTGCTTTTTGCCTTCTTTGAAAAAGCCCTCGTACTTGTCGCCGCTGGGGTGTACGTACACCCCAAAGCCCTCGCGGCGGCCCCACACAAAAGCCCCCTCATAAGAAGCTCCGTCTGCATACACCGCGCGGCCCTGGCCGCAGAAAGTGTGGGGCGCAGCAACAGAAGTTCCGTCTGCTGCTGTCAGCAGCAGCCGCAGCTCGCTCCGGCTGCTCTCCGCCGACATCGCCCGCAGCAGCAGCAGCAGCAGCAGCAGCAGCGGAGGCGGCGGCGGCGCCGGCGTTTCTGCGCCACAGGCGGCTCCCCACGTCTGCTGCGACCCCTGCTGCTGCTGCTGCTGCTGCTGCTCCCAGCGGAGAGCCTCCTGGAGTCTTGACGCTTCTTGCTGCTCTTTGCCGATCGTGGCCCGCTCACTCTAGGTGTCTAAGTTGAAAGAAAGACAAAACCATCAGCAGCAGCACCAGAAGCAGCAGCAGCAGCAACAGCAGCAGCAGCAGCAGCTGTGTCCTTTAAGCTCCTCTTGCTTCCTGCTGCCCTGCCCGCTGACCCTCAACTACCCCTCTCTTTTGCTGCTGTGCTGCTGCTGTGCTGCGGCTGCGCTGCTTCTGCTGCTGCTGCGCTGCTGCTGCTGGTGCTGGTGCTGCGCTGCTGCTGCTGGTGCTGCTGCTGCGCTGCTGCCTCTCCCCAGATCTGCAGCTCTCTGCGTTTGCTTTTTGATCTACTTGTCTCTCTTTCGTAGCAAATACCTTTTCCCCTTTTGCTGCAGTCCTGTGGCCAGCCTTTTTGCTGCTGCTGGGCTTTTCTGTGTCTGCGGGTTTTCCCCCCTGCAGGAATTTATCACAAGTTTCTTTCGGCTTTTTTTTATTTGCATGCAACTGCAGCAAATTGCGTTTTGTCTTAATTCTATTTTATTTAATTATGGCATTTTGTTAATTTCTAGCTTTTTAAATTGTATTTTATTTAATTGTGGCGTTTTATTCATTCATCATTGTACATATTCATCTCGCTGCTGCTGCTGCTGCTGCTGCAGTGTATTTGCGCCTGCGCGGCGGCCGCCTTCTCCAGCTTAAATTTCCTCCACTTTGCTGCAACTATTTCCTGAATATATTTATATTTATATTCTTTTATAAATACAATTATATTTATTTTATATTTATTCATAAACATAAATATATTTGTTTTTATTTGCAGCAATTCGCACCGAACGGCGAACTTAGGTCGAACTTTATTTGCTTTTTATATTTTCACTTCTGCTGCGCCTCAAAAGTGGCTCCGCGGGCTCAAGATGCTGCGCTGTGGTCACTTCCCAGTTTAGGGTCTAGGGTTTAGGGTTTAGGGTTTAGGGTTTAGGGTTTCGAGGGGGCCTCCTGCTGCTCCTAAAGGTGAAACGTCTATTCAGTAAAGTCTAAAAGTCTAAATCAAGTGCCATTTACTATTTAGGACTTGTGCCAAAGGGCCCCGCCGCAGCCGACTGGCTGCCTGGCGGCGGCTTGCTGCTGCTGCTGCTGCTGCTCCTGCTGCCATTGCCAGTGATGCGCATGCGCAGTGTCGTCGCCAACTAGTGTAAGAGGCTTGGAAGTGGCGAAAAAGCAGCAGCAGCTGCAGCAGCAGCAGCAGCTGCTGCTGCTGCTGCTCCTGCTCCTGCTGCCATTGCCAGTGATGCGCATGCGCAGTGTCGTCGCCTAGAACTGTCTGTACAGCAGCAGCAGCGGCAGATCCATCTGCTGCAGCAAAAGACTATATTGCCAATAATTTCATGAAAAATAGGAAATACGAATAAGGATATACTAGGGACCTTTAGGGAACGCCGCTGGAGTCGCAGCAGCAGCTCACGCTGCTGCTGCTGCTGCTGCAACTTTGCGCAGGAGCCCCACCGCTGCTGCAGTATTCTTACGCAAAACTTGCTGCTGCCGTACTGCAGCAACGGAGAAGGCAGCAACAGCAGCAGCAGACACAGAAGAAGCTCCATACTGCTTGAGGGCGCCCCGAGGGGGCGAGGCACAGCCGGCGGGAACAGCGGCAGCAGCAGCAGCAGCAGCTGCGCGAAGAGCAGCAGCAGCAGCAGCGTAAGCAGCAGCAGCAGCAGAGCAGTGGAGTGCGGCTCTTTCGGAGTTGTCTTCCGACGAGGCAGCAGCAGCAGCAGCTGCAGCTGCTGCTACGTTTCAGGCCACCTAATGGGTACACATGCGAGAGGCAGCAGGAGCAGCAGAAGCTCAAGCACGCGCAGCAACAAGAACCGCCGCCGCCGCAGCAGCAGCAGCAGCAGGAACTGCAGCAGCAGCAGGAACTGCAGCGGCAGCAGAGGCGGTAACGGCAGCTGCAACACTGTCAGCAGCAGCAGCGGGACTAAGCAAAAAGTTAGATCAAGGAGACACAACAGCAGCAACAGAAGCAGCAACAGCGGAAGCAGCCGCAGCAGCAACGACAACAGCAGCAGCAGCAGCAGCAACAGCAGCAGCACGGAAACGCAAGACTGCACGTCGGATGGTGCCGTCAGGGGTGCTGCAGTCGAAAGTGCTGGTGCAGCAGCTGCAGCAACAGAGCCTGCTGCAGCATTACAGCCAGCTGCTGCAGCAGAGTCTGTCGCAGCAGTAGGGCCAGCTGCTGCAGCAGGGCCAGATGCTACAGCAGCAGAGCCAGTTGCTGCAGCAGGGCCAGATGCTGCAGCAATAGAGCCAGCTGCAGCAGCGCGGCCAGATACTGCAGCAATAGAGCCAGATGCAGCAGCAGAGTGTGCTGCAGCAATAGAGCCAACTGCAGCAGCAAGGCCTGATGCTGCAGCAGTAGGACAAACTGCAGCAGCAGAGCCTGATGCTGCAGCAGTAGAGTCTGATGCTGCTGCAGGGCGTGATGCTGCAGTGACAGGGCCTGATGCTGCAGCAGCAGCGAGCGATGCAGCAGCAGATCCTGCTGCAGGTGCTGCTGCAGCAGCAGAGCCTGCTGCAGCGTCAACTGCAGCATCAGAACCCACTGCAGCATCAACTGCAGCAGCAGAGTCTACTGCAGCGTCAGCCGCAGCAGCAGAGCCTGCCGCAGCACCAACGGCGGCAGTAGAACCTGCTGCAGCAGAACTGTCTAAAGCAGCTGAGCCTCCAGCAGCAGCAGCTGCTGCTGCAGCATATCGATCAGCAGCAGAAAAAGCAGCAGCAACAGATGATGCTGCAGATTTTGTCGAGACAGAAATGAACGTGGCAGATGAGGCCGATGCAGCCGCAGCAGCAGCAGTGCCTGCAGCAGCAACAACAGCAGCAGGTGTAGCTCCGTCTGCAGCAGCAAAAGTGTCAAGGATTGAGCCTTGTGAGCAGCAGCGGGATGCAGCACCTCGATGTAAATCAGCAGCAGCAGCAGCAGCAGCAGACGCTTCAACGAACAGCAGTATATGTGGCGATAGCTGCAGCAGGGAGTCTTCAGCAGCAGCAGCAGCAGCAACGCCCACAGCGGCTGCACTGAGCGCTGCAGCAGACACTGACGGACAAAATGGAGCCCCCAGCAGCTCTGTTCTTTCCTTTCTGTCTCGCAGCAGCAGCAACGCCAGCGTTAACGGGAACAGCAAGCAGCAGCAGCAGCAGCAGCAGCAGCCGCTGCTTTCTTCTGCCAGCCGCATGCTGCTTAGTGTGGGACGGCGCCTCGGGAGCGGCAGCATTGCTGCAGCGGAGAGTGCAGCAGCAGCAGCAGCTGCTGCTGCTGCTGCGGCTCTTGTGGGAGAGGCAGGCAGCAGCAGTAGCAGCAGCAGCAGCAGCAGCAAAAGCGGCGGAGCAGCAGCAGCAGACTGCTACACTGTGCAGCTGGAGCACGAACTAGCCGCTCTCAAGTAAACCCTCAGCCCTAAACCCTAAACCCTAAACCCTAAACCCTAATTGGCAGTATAATCCTGAAATAGCTCTTTGTCGTACTGAAGAGACGCGCATAAGCGAGCTAGCGCTTGTTTTGCTGCTGGCAGCTCCAGCAGCAGCAATAGCAGCAACTGCAGCAGCAGCAGCTGCCGCAGCAAGCAGCAGCAACTGCCGCAGCAGCAGCCGCAGCTGCAGCAGCTGCAGCATCCGTAGCGACATGCCGCTGTCTGCATGCAGCTCTCTGTATTTTACTTTCGCCGGCGCTTCTGCTGCTGCTGCTTGTGCGGCTGCTTCTATTGCTGCTGTTGCTGCTGCTGCTGCTGCTGTTGCTGTGTTCACAGGGAGCAGGTGAGCGTGTACAGACAGGCGCTGCTGCTGCTGCCGCCTTCCTCTCCACAGCCTGCTGAGGTGTATGGGGACCTCCGAGCAGCAGCAGAATGTGTCGTGAGGAACCTCAGAAGTCTAGGCTTCCTTGCAGCAACAGCAGCAACAGCAGCAGCAGCAACAGCAGCAGCAGCAGATACAGCTGCACAGGACGCAGCAGCTGGCGATTCAGCTGGTGCTGCTGATGCAGTACAAGATCGTCCCAAGAGGGACTCGAGTGGACCGTTTGAAGAGCAAGCAGCAGCAGCAGCAGCAGCAGCAGCAGAGGGGCAGCAGCAGCTGCAGCAGCTGCTAGTAGATGCAGTGGAGCAAGCCCTTGCTGCGTCGCTCTCATGTAACGCGACGCCGCCTTCGCCGCCTCAGCAGCAGCAGCAGCAACTGCAACAGCAACTGGAGCAGCTGCAGCAGCAGCTCGAAACCGAAAGGCAGAAGCATGACACTGAGCGCGTGCTGCTGCTTCAGAAGCTGCAGCAGCAGCAGCTGGAGGCGGAGCAGCAGCGCGACATTAACGAGCGACAGGCCAAACAACTCATGCAGTGCGACGGCGCTTGCTGCTGTCTTTGTTGCTGCTGCTGCCTCCTTTGGCACTATTTTCTTTGCTGCTGCTGCAGAGTCAACTGCGTCCTGCTGCTGCTCCAGCCCCCTCGCTGCTGCTGCTGCTGCTGCTGCGGTTTCCTGCAGGCTTACACTTATGGTGACGCAGATGAAGACGGAGGCGGACGAACACAAGCAGCAGCAGCAGCAGCAGCAGCAGCAGGGACAGGAGCAGCAGCAAAGAACCGAGGTGGACTCTGCTGCGGCAGGAGCTGCAGCTGCTGCTGCTGCGCCCCCACAAGTCACTGCTGAACAGTTCGAAGAACTTTGTGCAGCAGCAGCAGAGACTTTTCGACTGCGGTGTTCTGTCACTTCTCTTGAGGAAGAGCTGCAGTGCATGCAGCAGCAGCAGCAGGTAGTAGTTGCTCTTTCCCCGCTGCTGCTGCTGCTGCTGCTGCTGTTGCCGCTCGTGCGACGGCAGCTGCAAGCGATGCTTCAGCTGCAGCTGCTGCTTCTTTGGACCTGGCTGGAAATATTACCGGTGCTGCTGCTGCTGCTGCTGCTGCTGCCCGGGCTGCCCTTTGGGCGCGATGCTGCTGCTGCCCTACATAAGACATTGTTGTTGCTGCTGCTGCTGCTGCTGCTGTGGCGCAGAGTGCTACTGCTGAGCTTGAACAGGTGCAGCAGCAGCTGCAGCGGGAACAAGAGATGCGAGAAGTGCAGGAGCAGCAGCAGCAGCAGCAACAGGAAAAAGCCGAAGTCCAGCGGATGGATTTGGAGCAGGCGCTGCTGGCAGCAAGGGGGGAGCGCGACGAGCTGCTGCAGCAGCTGCAACAGCTGCAGCAGCAGCAGCAGCAGCAGCAGGACGTCGTACGACAGCTGCGGCAGCAGGTACAAGAAACAGAAGAGCAGCTGCAGCAGCTTAAGAACGAAATGAAGCAGCAGCAGCAACTGCAGCAGCCAACGTCTGCAGCGGGGGCAGCCCAAGGCCTCCAGCGGACTCTCTCCGAAGAGCTAGCAGCAGCAGCAACAGCAGCAACAACAGCAACAGCAGCAACAGCAGCAACAGCACGAATAACGAGAAACTCTGGCAGATCATCACCTGCTGCAGGGCTCAATGCCCCTGAAGCTTTTGAACTTGAGCAGCAGCAGCTGCTGCAGCAGCAGCCGTATAAACAGGAGCATTCACAGCAGCAGCAGCAGCAGCTGCTGCAGCAGCAGGGCTCATTCTCGCTTTTCGTTGAGGCTTCGCAGCGAGCGCTGCAGCAGCAGCATCTGCAACGGCAGCAGCAGCAGCTGAAGGCGCTGCAAGCCCTCTGCGCACGGGAGAAGAAGCAGCGCGAAAAGGTATACTGGAAGCTTTGCTGCTGCTGCTGCAGTTGTTGCTGCTGCTGCTCTTTTTGCTGCTGCTCTTGCTGGTGCTCTTGCTGCTGGCGCTATCACGTTGTCTCTGGGCGTTATCGATGCAACGACGCTCTTAGCTGCTGCTTCTGCATCTGCTGCTGCTGCTGCTATTGCTGCTGCTGCTGCTGCTGCAGGCCGAGGAGCAGTGTCGGCGGCTGCTTGCTGCTGCACTAGAGAACCAAGTGCTGCGCCTCCACAGGGATGAAGCTGATTCCCCTGCTGCTTCTTCATCCTCCCCGCGCAGCAGCAGCAGCAGCAGAAGCAGCAGCAGCAGCAGCAGAAATGCCTCAGCATGGGCACGGGACACTGCGCCGACTTCTCGTCCACTCAAAGCCGCAAATTCTTATTCGTCGGATCTCGACTACCTGCAGCAACGGCAGCAGCAGCAGCAGCAGCAGCAAGACAATGCACTGCTGGCCGCAGAGCAGCAGCAGCAGCAAGGCTTGGAGCCACCAGAGGCAAATGCCCCGCTGCTGCAGGAGCAGCTGCAGCGGCTGCAGCGGACAAACAGCAGCCTTTCTGATGCTTTACGGGAAGCAGCAGCAACAGAGGAGGCACTTCGGGTGAGCTGCTGCTGCTGCTGCTGCTGCAGCGATCAGTTGCTGCGCTTGCGCTGTTCTTTTGTAATGCTGCGTCGCGCCGGTGTGCCCTACGGGCTGCTGCTGCTGTCGCTGCTGCTGCTGCTGCTGCTGCATTGGCTGCTCTACTGGGGGTGCGTCCTTTTCCTTTGCTGATGGTTCGGGGGTGGAGTGCCAGACTGAGGGGTTGCTGCTGCTGCTGTTGCTGCTGCTGCTGCCGCTGCTGCAGACAGAGCTGCAGCAGAAGACGCGGATTATCAACGTTTTGCTGCAGCAGCCGCCCAAGCAGCAAAGGTGCGTTTCAGCGTCCGAGGCTCTGCGCTGTGCGCTTCGCAGTTTAGGGTTTAGGGTTTATGGTTTAGGGTTTAGGTTGCTGCTGTCAGACAAGGTAGGCTTTTTAATTAGGGTTTGTGGCTGAGGGTTTAGGGTTTAGGGTTTGGGGCTCTGTGGGCTGTGGCGAAGGTCTCTGTGGGGCCAGTTTGGGACTGAAGATGAGCAGCTTCGGCGGCTGCAGAGTTTGCTGCAAGAGACACTACGAGAGAACTTGAAACTGCAGCAGCAGCAGCAGCAGCAGCAGCAGCAAGCGCCGTGACCTGTAAGCTTCTATCGCCGGTTGAATAACTTCTTTTTGCTTTTCTTTTTTGTTTTGATCTTCTGTCTAGTAAAGACCTTGAGGTGTACAGACACTTACTACAAACTCAGCTTTGCAGGCTTGGAAAGAGCCACAGCAGTAGCAGCAGCAGCAGCAGCACCAACAGCAGCAGGTTCTGTTGCTGCTGCTTCCCCCGGCCGTGAGTGGCCCCGCAGCAGGGCCAGCGAGCTGGGGCCCCTGGCCTTCTGCTGCTTAGCAGCAAGTAAGGAGCAGCTTGTTTTCAAATGCTTAGGGTTTAGGGTTTAGGGTTTAGCGCAACTAGTCTAGAGGCGCAGCAGCAGCTCCGCTGTGGGGCCCCTCGCGCCCCGCCAGCCCCCAGCTGCTGCAGCAGCCTGCTGCAGCAGCAGGCGTTGGGGCCCCCAGTCAGCCTGGGGGCCCCTGGGTAGCAGCAGGGGGGCCCCCGGGGGCCCCGAGGGGCCCCCAGGGTCACCTCGGGGCCCCTCCCGCTGCTGCGGACGCAGCAAAAGGCTGACGCAAAAGGGTTTTAAAGGGTGAAGGGCTGAAAAAAAGAAAAGAAAAAGAGAAAAACAAAGGCGAGAAACAATATCCGGAGAGGAGACTGAGAGGTGACTCAGAAAGAGATACAAAGGTGAGGAAAAAGGGTTTAAAACGAGCCCAGGGAGCCGCAGGAACCTTTTGGCGCCGATTTAGGGTTTAGGGTTTGGGGTTTCGGGTCCAGGTGTTGTTGCTCGTGCTCTGGGAAAGTCGAAGCCTCCCATGAGCTGCTTGTCTTCTGAGGAAAGAGCAAAAGTACATTTAGTTTTAATTGCTTCGCATCTAGGGTTTAGGGTTTAGCGTTTAGGGTTTAGGGTTTAAGGCTTGGGGTTTATAGCCTTCGGGCATTTGCGGCTCGTGGGCCCATCGGCCGCCGTCAGGGGCCCCCGCCATAGATGGCGCTGCAGCTCGAGGGTTTAGGGTTTAGGGTTTAGGGTTTAGGGTTTGAACAAAAGACTTCTCAGTGCCCGATTTAAGAATTGGGATGTGTTATTAAAACTTAGGGTTTGAGGGTTTAAAGGCGTCGTGTTTATTCTTGTGGGGCCCTCGAGTCGCCCTGAGGAAACAGCTGAAACCCTAGATCCAAACCCTAAACCCTAAACCCTTGACAGTGGCTTGTACCCAATTTTAATTTCACAAGAGCTTATTTGCTCAGCATGTCGGCTACGGGCTCTCACGCACCGTCGCTGGTAAAAGCCCAAACGCTAAACCCTAAACCCCAAACCCTAAACCCTAATCCCTCAACCACAACAGCGTTTGCTCCCTCTACTCTTTCACTGGCCAAGGCGCAACTCATTCTGCGTGCCAGTCCCCCATCCAGCTGACCGTACAGACGGAGCTGAGGGTTTAGTCTTTAGGGTTTAGGGTTTAGGGTTTAGGGTTTAGGGCTTACGGGTTCGGACCCCTCGTTCTCCCGAGAACGTGTCTGCTTCTTACTTCTCGTTTGCGCGCAGCATTCACTGCAGCAGCAGCAGCACGAAGACCCCCAGCAGCAGCAGCAGCAGCAGCAGCAGTTTTCGGTTGCGGAGGAGTTGCTGCCGGTGATTCGCGAGGCTGCTGCTGGCCTGCGGGGCCGCTCTCTGGTGTCTGTACAGCTCATTAGTGCTGCTGAAGTTGCTGTACTAATTTTGACAGCTCACAAAATTAAAAGTCTGCACAACCACCGAGACCCTGCCCTGGGCCGGGCCCTGCAGGCGCGTCCGAGGGTTTAGGGTTTAGGGTTTAGGGTTTAGGGTTTAGAGTTTGGCGCTGAGGGTTTGGGATTTTGTGTGGGCAGCAGGAGGAAGGTTGCGGCTGTAGCGGCTTGCTGCTTCACGTAAGGGGCTCAGCTTACTTCCGAGGGTTTAGGGTTTAGGGTTTAGGGTTTAGGGTTTGGGTGTGCGTTTAGGGCAAAGTTGTGGCGACAGCTTTCTTCGAGCCCAGCACCCGCACGCGCTGTTCATTTGAAGCTGCTGCTCTTCGTTTGGGGGCAGGTCTAATTAGCAATCCAGACTTGAAGGTGAGGGTTTAGGGTTTAGGGTTTAGGGTGTAGGGTTTAGGGTTTAGGGTTTAGGGTTTAGGGTTTGGCGCTGCGCGCCTGCAGGCTGCCAGCTCTGTCAAGAAAGGCGAAACCCTCTCAGACACGATGAGGATGTTTTCTTCTTACGCCGACGCGGTGGTCCTTAGACATCCAGAAAAGGTCAGCAGCAGCAGCAGCAGCAGCAGCAGCAGTGGCAGCAGCAGCAGCAGTGGCAGCAGCAGCAGTAGTAGCAGTAGCAGCAGCTTCTCACGCCGACGCGGTAGTTCTTAGACATCCAAAAAAGGTCAGCAGCAGCAGCAACAGCAGCAGCAGCAGCAGCAGCAGCAACACTAGCAGCTGTAGCAGCAGCAGCAGCAGTAGTAGCAACAGCAGCAGCAGTAGCAGCAGTAGCAGCAGCGGCAGTAGCAGCAGTAACAGAAGGAACCACAGGGGAGGCGGAGGACAGCTGAGGACTGCGTTGGCATCGGGAGCATGGGGAAAAGGGTCTAGGGTTTAGGGTTTAGGGTTTAGGGTTTAGGGTTTAAAGTTTGGGGTTTCGTCTTCTTCAGGGCAGCTGTGCGTCGGTGGCTTCCCCGCAATATGGCTTTTGCTCTCCGGAACCCAGCAGCAGCAGCAGCAACAGCAGCAGCAGCAGCAGCAGCAACAGCAGCAGCAGCAGCAGCAGCAGCAGCGGGAACTGCGTGCTGCTGTCTGGCGGCGACGGGTCTGGAGAACACCCGACTCAGGCTCTGCTGGATTTGTTCACCATAGCTGAGCAGCAGCAGCAGTGGTTTGCTGCTGCAGCAGCAGCAGCAATTCGGGGAGAGACACAAAAGACACAACAACTCTCCCTAGTCTTCTGTGGCGACCTCAGATACGGAAGGTCTGCTAACGCCTGCTGCTGCAGTTGCTGCTGCTCTTGCTGCTGTTGCTGCTGTTATTGCTGCTGCTGCTGCTGTTGCTGTTCGCGCTGCTGCTGCTGCGGCTGTTGTTTGTGCTGTTGCTGCTTCTGTGGCAGCTGCCATGGAACTCAGTTCACGGGCTGCCTTGGTCACGTGATTTAGGGAGGACTACAGACTTAGGGTTTAGGGTTTAGGGTTTAGGGTTTAGGGTTTGGGGTTTGTGCTGAAGGACTGTGCACTCTCTGGCGCTGCTGCTAGCTCGCTTTGGAGTTCGCCTAACTTTCGTGCCTTATAGTGGCTTCGAGCCTGACAGTTCGTTTTTGGAAGAAGTCAGAAGCGTCTTTAAGCAACAGGTTAGGGTTTAGGGTCTAGGGTTTAGGGTTTAGGGTCTAGGGTTTAGGGTTTGGGGTTTAGGGTTTGGGGTTTAGGGTTTGAGGGTTGCAGCTAGGCGAGGCTCAGTTGAGGGCCACCGGCGTAGAGGGCGCAGCTCCGGGCTGGGGTGGAGGGTTTGTGTGTGAGGGTTTAGGGTTTGCTGCTGAGGGTTTAGGTTTGCTGTCGAGGGTTTGGGGTTTGCGCTGCCTAGGGTTTACCAGCAGACACTTTCTGCTGCACCGCCCACTCCCTCGAGTCTGTGCTGCCCCACGCTGACTTCTTATACTTAACAAGAATACAAACAGAAAGGATTAAACCCTCGGGGGGCCCCCCAGAGGGGCTTGGGGGGCCCCCAACCCCAGTGGGGGCCCCCGGGGCCCCAGGGGCTCCAGGGGCCCCGGGGGCCCCCAGTGAGGCCCCACAAGAGGCTGGAAGGGGGGCCCCTGAGATGCAGGTGACGTTGGAGTTTTTGAGGAGGTTTGCAAAGCCAACTTTGAAGGTGAGGGCTTCAGAGTTGACTAAGGGTTTATATATAATGTGTTTCTTTTGCCAATAGCAATATATATATATATATATATATATATTATATATTTATATATATATATATATATTTGTATGCAGTTTGTGTTATATAGGTATACTTTATAGGTGTGCATGTACCTGTTGATATGTCTGTATGTGTGAAGAAACACTGTGCATAGTGTATATATATATATATATGTATATATACAAACACTGCATATATATGTGTATGAGTGTTTATATACACTCATACATATATACACATATATCCAATACAAATATGTATTTGCACTACACAATATACATATATATATCTATATCTAGATATATATATATGCGTCTAAACGTATATACTTGTACATATATACATACTATGTATATATACACTTATATATTTACATTTGCATGCAAAAGAGCTGGGGGCACCGACAGGTGGCTGCGCAAGTGGTTTTGCGTTCAGGTGTTGCACCCGTTGCCTCGGAATTGGGAGTTGGGCGAAAGTGTTGACAGCAGCAAATTTTGTTTGTACTTTGCCCAGGCGGCCAACGGCCTGTTTGTGCGCATGGCCCTCTTGCTTTTGACTCTTTGTCCTTATCCCTTTCCAAAGTGCGCCATTTGAGGCCCAGCGGGTCCAAAAGCCCAAAAGGGCTCACTTTAAATGTCTAAAAGCCCACAACAAACGGCCAAAAATACCATTTTATTCTCATATATTGCGTAAAGATGAAAAGACTTTAAGCTGTGTTCCAATTAGCTCTAAAGACCCCAAAAAGGCTTAGGCCTCAGAGTCAGCAGCAAGCAGCCAAAAAGACCATTGTATCATCTTGTGTTGAGTAGAGATGAAAAGGCTCCTTAATGACATTTCTATTAGCTCTCAAAACCCCAAAAAGGCACAGTTTCAATGCCTCAGAGCCAGCTGCAAACAGCCAGCAAGACCATTTCATCCTCATATATTGAATAGAGATGAAAACGTCTTCAATTCATATTCGCGTTGGCTCTCAAAACCCCAACATGGCTCGCTCTAAATGCCTCAAAGCCAGCAGTAGATTTCGCTTTTTCAGTTTTCTCGCTTGCCCTGCAGCTGTATCAAAGGGCCGCGGAGCTGCTAAACATGGGCAAATAAAAGTTACCTAGGACCCGAACATGAATGAATAAATGCTGCTTTGCAAGTAGTCTCCTAAATTAGTGCTGCTGAGCACGAATGTAGGTAAGTGGTGCCCAAAAATGTACAGAAATATCCGCTGCTTGCCAGGGGAAAGCATATATTGCGGTACTGTGGATGGTGGCATTAAAAGCGCATTTGACTTAATGAGGGCATAAACCTAGGGGCAAAGCGCGGGGCTGTAGAGAAGCACCAAATTGCTTCCATCCGGTGATAAAAGAACACTTGGGAGGTTCATGGTCAGCACCAGAGCATTAATCACCTTTAGCATTAAATTTAACTCATTCAACAGGAACACCCGGCAGAGAATTAGCAGCAGCAGGGCTTCCTTTTCTTTCAAAGTAGCAGCCGTATTCTGTGGGCAAGCCAGAGGTGGACCAGTGTATCAGGAAAGATGGGTCCAGTGAACACCACAAGACCAACAGACTATCTTTCTTAGTGGCTTAAACCCAGAACAGTGTCCATTGGTGATTCATTGTACTAGAAGAGTCAGGTGAGAAAAGCCCGTGCATCGGCCAACACGAGTTGCCATTGAGTCCCGATAGCAGAAGTATAAAAGGCGGTCCCCACGGGAAAAGGCACAATTGGCCATCGGGCTCGGTTGCTTATGACTGGACAGCCTTTTACAGTCTCTAAGGCTCAGTTGGGCTGTGGCTCATTTAGCCTCACTCAGGGCAGTAACGTGTGATAGTCACATTTTCGGCTGCCTTGCACTTTGTCTCTGCGCACAGTCTGTCTATAGCTGCCTAAATATGTGAGCAATATTACAGTGTTCTCTACAGCGCATGCTTGACTGCGCTTAACTCAGCTTTAACCCACAGGGCAAGTTCATTGGCAACGAAGTAAAATATTAGTAGGGAAAGGCACATTTTGTCCAAGGCTGGTGTTCAAGAGCTGGGCGTTCCTGAGCGGAATTTACGCATAAGCCAGTGCGAACCCAGCAGGTCAAACACAAAGCTGTGCCTTTTGTTGGCCTCTGTAGGAAACTCCAGGTTTAGGACCTCTGGACAAAAGGGCCAGATGCATGTGAGCCGTGTACTCGGTTAAATTGGCAAGCCCAGCAGGCTGTATGGCCAACTGCATTGGTAAGGTAGCTCGTTCTCGCGCAGTCGAAGAGCGCAAGACTCTGAAGGACATAATTAGCAGGCCTTGAAATTGTGTCACTAGGTGCTGATGTAACGAGCGCTTCGCTTTACTTTCATGTCCTGTGATTGTTTAGCTGCAGCACTGCTTGATAAAATGCCTGTGTGTTTTCTGTGTCTTCATGCCTCTGAAGCATGCAACCTAAGCGGAGTGCCGTGCTCGAGTAATTCCGCGGCTTGTTCCCTGCTCGGAGTCCAATAAGCTAGCGCTTTGGTATGCTCTTCATCTTTATATTGCCCTTTCCTTTGCCTTATTTTTCGTAGTTGTCTTCAAGTTCAGCTGGGATCTCTTCTGAGGTCCCTTAATCCACACTCCACTACGCAGGGCAATTTCGGCACGAGATTGTGGACGGGTGTGGCAATTCACACAGAATGGAACTGATGCTAAGGTGCGGGATGCCGCGCCTGGAACAGATACTTAAAACACTCCATAACCTCACGCCCACTTCCTTTTCCTTCTTCCTTTTGATTTGAGCCCTGAGCGTTCTCTCTTGCCTGGTTTTCCCACCTATTGCCTACCGATGGCTTTTGCTTCTCGTCAGGGCTGTGTTTTGGTAGTACCACGATGGCCTCGGGCTCCAACGCAGCGTAAGGAGCCCGTCATGAATCAATTGCTGAGATATGGAGCTTTCAAACCCGGTCTTGTGCACTTTTATTTTTCTCCTAAGCCCTCCAAGCTGGCGCAAGATAATAAGAATTGCCAGCCAAGGCTGAGGAAGCTAAAAGGCAGCTGCCCCTCTTTCGCGGCTTCCAAATAGAGTTACCCCCCCCTATGACAGCCTGTGTCGCCACGTTTTGCCTAGCTGCTTTGGTTTTGCTGGATTCGAAATTCCCTTTACTTCAATACCTCACGTTTCTTCCGTTGTTCACTTGTGAATGCCGCTCTTTCGGCGGGTCTGCCGCCGGGATGGTGAAATACTTCAGCCACGCAGGTGTAAGCTCCACCTGAGTTAGGAAGCAGAAACTCTTTAGCGTGCCGCACCCATGTTGCCCGATCTTCACCACCGCCCTTGCTCGCATGCCTGTTCTACTGCTGGCGCCAAGGACTTTGGAGCATTAGTTGCGCGTATGCCCGTATATTGATCTGTCTGTCCTTTGGCAGACTTGCTTTCCTAGACCAGTCGAGTAGAAACGCTCAATATGCTCCTCTCTGGCTGAGAGGTAGAGTCTCACGGGTAACAAGGTAGTAACTGTCGACGATTCTAGTCAATGCGCGTCCTTCAATGCGCATCTTTTGCACCCTTTGCCATGCTGTTAGTCACAACGAACGTACTGTCTTGTCCTTGAACGACGGCAGACTTGTGCAGCCACTATGTCGCTGCAGTCCCCCACACATGGACGAAGCGCGCCGGATGCTTTGGGAGCTAGGCAAGCTCGCCGTATTTTGTGGCAAATGGGGTACACTAATGAGGAGGCAGCTATCGTGGCCAGATGTACTTACAAGCAGATTTATAAGAAGGGGACTATACAGGCTTCTTCATTACTGAAGTGAAGCAGCAGCCCGCATCATGGCGTGTCGCGTTGGATGTGTCCCGTCCCCGATAACGTTTTCTAGAACGCCTTAGAAACGGCGCTCACTGTTGGCTACAAGGTCATTACCACAAGAAAGAGGCAAAGAGGCAGCGACACGATCCTCCTTGCTTCGGAACACGAGCAGGAAGAGAGGCGCGACGAGGGTCTCCTGGGCAGCTTTTCTTCGTGACCTTAAAATGCGGAGATAGAAATAAATCTGTGCAGCTCACTAAGCAAGGCAGATGCCGCCGAGAGGAAGCCTGTTGCTGTGTGGCTACGTGACTGGAGACGAGGGCCAGAAGGCTGGAGGTTCCTAATTGACTGTGTTCTTGCTCATCTTGCAGCCAAAAAAAGTACCGTGGAGCCGGGTCCTCGAGGCGCTTGGCTAAGCGTGAGATTTTGGTAATTGCTGCTTGTATAAATGTAAGCTTTAGAAACCAGAAAATAAGAATTTCGGCTGTGCTGGATGCCACGGCGTAATAGCCAGTGTGAACTTGGGGCAGTAAAGAAGCTCCGCTCTGTCTGATACTCGTCTCATCTGGAGTTACTCCGTATTTGCCTTGTCTTTACGAATTACGTGCATGCAGGAATTCCTGGGCAGGGAAGCGATGATGTTGAATCCGGGTGGGCCGCAACCTCGCTGGACTTTAGCCTGTGGTAAATGGTGGGCTTCCTCTCTGGGACGTGTTTCGCCTTTGAAATGTGAAATGGAGGAGTAACAAAAACATTGCTTTCAGAAAGTGCCTTTTAGTTTCAGACCCAGCTGCCTGCAGCCTGTGTCCCGAGTTCAAGATTCAGTTAGCGCCCCTCCCGCCACGAGTTTCGAAGTAGTCCCTGGGGAGTTCAACTGGCTGTTCTCGATTTAGTGGAGCTAGAAAAACTATAATTTTCTGGCTTTCCGAATGTCCCTTTTTGACTAAAAACTCTATTCCCCTACTCAGTGATCCAGTACACTAGGTGCTGCCTTCCTGACTTGGCATGTTTCCGATATCGTATAGGGCAATAGATACCAAAGAAAGGGATCGCATTAGAGTGTTCCCAGATTCAGCAGGCTGAGCGGAGGAAGTCTGAGCCAGATACAGCAAAGCAATTAGAGTTGCAAGCACTGCTGAGGCTTTCCAAAATAATTCAACAGCCGAAGCCCCCGTGGGGGAGTATCCGTGAACCAACTCGGCATGGGCTTCACCCTTTCCTTGGCAAACAACTTTTGCCTGTGAAGCGGCCCGAGTGCAAAGCTATCCCAACAAACTATTTAGCTCTGGCAAGCCGGTAAAAACTTCCAATGTTCAAAATATTTTCTACCTCTCAGACAGGGACCTTGTAAGGATTATTGTGGATTGAGTGTCACTCATTGAGTGTCACTAGAATCTCTGTCTTCAATTCAGTGAAAATGCATGATTCAGGAGGCACTTTTCATGAGCGTCCGCTCTACTATATGGGCCTGTGGATGACGATTAAGAGGCTTGCCAACAGAATCTCTTGTGGAATCTGTCACCTCGTGTTCATCAAAAGGCGACCCAGCAGACTGTTCCCGGCATAAAATGTCGGGACCAATGCTCCTTCTTCACAATAATTGTACATTGGGCTGGGAACCCCTTAGTTCTTTTCACTCAAAATGTTGCCCTGAGGCCACTGCTCAGGGCAACATTTTGAGTGAAAAGAACTACGGGGTTCCGGAGCTAACACGCAACAGCCCTCATTTTTAACTTTTAATGAGCTGCATAGTTTTTCAAAGCCGAGTAAATTCCACACTACAGCCTCTAGCGGCTTGCCTTTCACGGGGCGTTGGAGGCGAAGAAAACTAAAGAAGCTTGTAGAGATCAAACTGTGGTTCACACGAGGCATGCTGTTGTATTGGCCTTTTTTGTCTATATATCGAAAATATATATATATATATACATATATGTCCCTAGTACAAGAGTCCGAATTAGAGGGCCGGTAGACTTGGTTTCCCATTGCAGCTATGAGCTCAGTTCATTCAATACACAATCTATTTGCGTCCGGCGTTTCAAGCTCTATAGAGTAGTAGGGTAAAAGGGCCTTACACTTCTTTGAGTGTGGGGCAGCTAAGGGGGGCTCATATGTCTTATTCTATGACGGATTTACGGGCTATTTACGTTGCCTTGCAGTCACGATAGAGAAAGCCACTACCAGATATGTGCTACTAAAAATATGTCATAAAAGGGTTAGCATTGGCCTTCTTTATGGGCCTTCAATGCCCAGGCAATGTCTTACATACGTTGGCACAAGGGAAAGTCAGTGCCCCAGTTGCTCAGATAGCAATCTGCTGCAGAGCATCAGAGTCATTTCCGGTAAATATGGATTACAAAATGGACTTTCCACCATTTTTATTAATGTATTATATGGAATAGAGTTCAGTTTATCTATAGCGAGGGTTCATACAGTTTCTTGAAGAATAAATGCGCCAGAGAAGGATACTCGGCAGAGAAAGGATGTCCACAAATTCCCTTGTGACATCACTTCCCTGCCAATAATACCTTATTCTGTAGCGTCATTTAAATAGTCCCCCTAAACTCTACATGAGTGGAGCTCTCTTCTAACGGAAAACTATTTTTGGTTTTCCCTAAATTGTCTAGAATCCCGCTCGCGCACAAGCCAGCGGCAATCAGGAAGTAGCGCGGCAATAGCTAGTGCGAATCCGCCAAATTTTGAATTGCACTAATGATTAATGAATTAACTAATAGCAGCAGCTGCACGCCCCTATCTGGCTATTCCCCACAAAAGACAAGACCCTCTTAGAAGTTCGCCTTGCGGCGGTTTGGCCGCGGGCTAAGATCCATTGGCCGCAGCTGCGCGCAGACACTGTAGACCGCTGGGCCTGCAGAGTTGGAGTTTAGGTGGGGCCTTTAGAAGGTGGTACTGCCGCGGAGGCGGAGTTTTAAGCTTTGAAAACAAGTGCTGTTAGTGGGCTGCTGAGGGGGGCTGCAGGCGCGGAGACGGGCCCTTGTTTGAGTTAGGAAAGGCCAGAAGACACCTGAAAAAAGAGAAGGCGGTTTCTTCGCGCTGCAGGTTATGTGTCCCACGGCGTGGTGTACATACAGCTGAACTTGCTGCGCGTGGCAAGGCTGCAGTGTGCAGGGGCGAGCAAAATAGCGTTTTCTGCGGCTCTAACTGCAGAATAAAAAGCCCCAGGGTCTATCTTAATTCTCCTGAGTTGCTTTTTGCTTTTTACGTGTTGAGAAACTAATTAAAAAGGGCCAGCGGCGAGGTGTACGGCAGCCTAAGGAACCCACATTGGTTGAGGTGACCCTGGAGCCATGCGGGTGTCTGCCGCGCTGCCGCGCCAAATCTGCGCTGGAATTCTCTTTAAAGTTGAAAAATAAGTCTTTTGAATTAAATCTAAAGTTGTAATTGTTGCAATAAAGGGGCGGAGAGCAGCGCAAGGCGGGAGGCGCGGGGCCGAGGTGCGCGCACATCTGAGTCGCTGCTGCGCAGGGGGGGTGGGGTGTCTTCCTCTCTCCGGAGGTCTTTTAAATGCGTTTCTACTGTTGAAGAAAGTTCAGATTGAGACTTTTTGGTGAATTAATCTTGTAGCTGCAAAGTAGTTTGGAATTTGGCTCGGTGGGCTCTTCGTGTGTCCGCTGGCGGCTGCGGTGTCTGTACACTTGCCGTTCGTTTGTGCTTTGCGGGTGCGCCCCGTTTGGATCTTCGAGACTTTCATTTTATTTTCTGAATTTTGAAATCCTTTCAAAGAAAAAGGGCCGCGAAGAGCTTCTCTTCGCGAGCAGCAAGGGCTCAGCGTGCTGGTGTGGGCACACTGCGCGCTGCCGCGCGTTTCGGGCGCAAATTTCGCCTCCAGTCTTTCGTTTCTTTTCTCTTTTTCTTTTCTTTTGTCTTTTCTTTCTTTTCTTCTCGAGACTTTCCCTGCTGCTGCGCGTTTTCCGTGCCTTTTGGCTCTCGTGTCTTTGTGTCTCAGCCGCATTCGCCTCCCCATGTCGGACGCTGCAGTGCTCCAGCCCGTCCCGCTGACCCCCTCTGCAGGGGAGGGTCTGTGCGCCTCCGCAGCTGCTGCGGGCGCTGCAGCAGGAGCAGCAGCAGCAGCAGCAGCAGCGCGGGGCTGCTGCGCGGCGTGCCCGCAGCACGGCGTGCTGCTCTCGCGGCAGCAGCTGGAGGCCTCCGCCGCAGCCAACGCCAGCAGCAAACTGGTGGCCTACCAGGGCCTCGTCCTCGATGTCTTGGGCTTCATGCATCCCGGAGGAAATGATTTGCTGCAGCCTTTTTTCGGCAAAGACATCACTGAGGCCTTCGACGACGTGGGCCACAGCAGCAGAGCGCTGCAGCAGCTGCGGGGCCTCGCCGTGGGCATTCTGGAGGAGCAGCGGGAGCGCTACATAGCCTGGGCGGGCGCGGGGTGCCTCTGCAGCAGCAGCAGCAGCAGCAGCAGCAAGGCCAGCAGCAAGAAGAAGCCCGCGAAGCCTGCTGCTGCTGCTGCAGCGCACGACTCCACCACCGACAACGAGTCCGAGACCTCCCTGGGCAGCGAGGGCAGCAGCAGCAAGACGGGGGGGGCCCCCCAGGGGGGGCCCCCCTCTCCAGAGTCTTTAATAGACTTTTCCAAACCTCTCGTGCCTCAAATCTATTTCATGAGACATGACCTTTACAAGCACTGTTCCCAGACTCCCCACTGCACCGACAAGGTCTACACTTTGCTGCCCTGGCCCCAGTAAGCCCCTGCTGCTGCTGCTGCTGCTGCTGCTGCTGCTTGTTTGTTTTCGGCGTTTGGGGGGTTTTGTGCGCAGTGTGCTTCTGCGCGTTTTGCCCGTGCTGCTGTTTGCTGCTGAGGGTGGTGGCACTCGCGCTGCTGCTGCTGCTGCTGCTGATTTGCGTTGTCCGTGGCTCCGGCGGCCCGTTCCGCCCCTCTGCCCGCCCCCCCCTGCTGCTGCTCCCCCGCTGCTGCTGCTGCTGCTGCAGCAGGAGGGTTTGGTGGCTTGTTTTGCTGTAGGCTGGAGCCGCTGACGAAGACGCGCTGGTGGCAGGTGCTGCTGCTGTGGGGCCCCGTGTGCGGCTACCTGGCCTACTGCTCCTTCAAGACCCACCCCTTGCCGTGGAGCGTTGGAATGCTTTTTTTTGGACTTTTCGTTTGGACTTTTGTGGAGTATTGCATGCACAGATTTTTATTTCATTTTCCCGAAGACAAGCTGCCGGACAGCGGCGCCGTGCGCGTGGTGCACTTCCTGCTGCACTCCATCCACCACATGCTCCCCATGGACCCTCTGCGGTGCGTTTTCGCTACTTTCCGCCGCGTTTCTGCATTTTCGTTTTATTTTTGGCGATTATTTTATTTATTTTATTTATTTCGCGTTTAAACGCCGTTTTTAGCGCGCAAATTGCCGTTTTCCGACGGCTTTGGGCTGCGGGAGGTGCGCGTACACCCGGGCGCGGCGCGCGCGGTGTACGTACACCGCAGAAACGCCGCCCGCTGCTGCCGACGCTGCTGCTGCTGCTGCTGCTGTTTGTGCTGCAGGCTGGTGATGCCTCCGGTGCTGCTGCTGCTGCTGTCGCTGCCAGTGTTCTTCTTGTTTTGCGCAATATTCCCCCAGTGGTTCGTGTGGGGCGCGTGGCCAGGGGGCCTCTGTGGGTACTTGTGTTATGATTTAATTCACTACCAAACTCACCACTGCAGCATAGCGGACAAAGTGCCTTACATAAACACTTTGAGGGTTTACCACATGAAGCACCACTTCAAATACCCTGATTTAGGGTTTGGCGTCACCAGCAAGTTCTGGGACATCGTCTTCGGCACCCCCATCGACGACAAAAAGAAAACGCCCTCCGAGTGACTGCAGCAGCAGCAGCAGCAGCTGGCTGCAGCAGCAGCGGCAAATGCCTGCAGCAGCAGCTGGCTGCAGCGGCGGCCGCGCTGCGGAGCTGCATGCATTCAAATGCTTGATTTCAGAAATATAGTTCGATTTATAAAATAAAGTACTTCTTTATTTCATGTGAGGGTTTGCTGCTGCGCCCTCTGGCGTTATTTGGGGCCCAAAGAGCAGCAGCTGCAGCAGCTGCAGCAGCTGCTGGCAGCCGGGGGCTCCGTCTGCATGCAGCAGCTTCTGGGGAAGAATGATTATTTATGTAGGTCAATGACGGCAGCACTGGGGAGGCTCAGGTGCAGCAGCAGCAGCAGCAGCAAACAGTGACAGGTGGACGCAGAGGCCAGGCAGCAACAAAGGGCGAGAGGTCCCAAAAGGACTTTGAAAGGCTTCAGGTTGTTCTGTGCTGCAGCGCTGCTGCTGCTGCTGCTACAGCGGGCAGTAGCAGCAGCGGGGCCTGCAGCAGCAGCAAGGGATCCGGGGAGCCGCGGCCGCAGCGGGTCTGCGGCAGCAGCAGCAGCAGCAGTTTGCTGCTGCTCTCCCTCGTGGGGGGATTTGATTTTGTCCTTTGCTGCTGCTTTCTGAAGCAAATGGGACCCCCTTTTCTGCTGGATTGTCTCTGTCTTGTTCGTTTCTCTTTTTCATCTTTTGTCAGTTTTGTTCTTTTCTCTTTTCTTGGACTTTGCTCCGCCAGCCGCCCGTGCCGGCCTGTGCTTGGCTAGCTGGGTAGCTAGCTGCAGCTAACCAGCTAGCCGAGCGGCTAGCTAGCTGCTAGCTAGCCAGCTAGCCAAACAGCTAGCTAGCTGGCTAGCTAGCTAGCGGAGTAGCTAGCTGTGCGGCTCTCCAGATGTAGGAGTCGCGAGTTAGCTGGCGAGCTAGCTGGCAAGCTAGCTAGCTGGCTAGCTAGCTAGAGGGCTGACAGGCCAGCTGGCTGGCTAGCTGGCTAGCTAGCTAGCTAGCTGGCCCGCCTAAGAAAGCCGGCAGCTCGCTGTTGACAGGTCTCAATGAACTTTTCGTTTTTTGCTGCTAAGTTTTTTGTCGCGCCTCTTCCCTGCTGAGGTGTACGTACACCTCAACGTCGCCAGGTGTACGTACACCTCACACCCCACAGTAGACGGACGCCGCCTGGGGGTCCTGCTGTTGCTGCTGCTGCTACTTCTGTTGCTGCTGCTGCATATCTGTATATACTTACAGCTGCATGTAAATGTGGTTCAGTGCAGCAGCAAAAAAGGAGTTAAAGTAAATAAAAAATTCGTTTGTGGCGCCTGGCTAGTCCTCCTGTTAGGAGCAAATTGGCGCGAGGACATGAAAGAGGCAGCAGGAGTTGCTGCAGCAGCTGGTGCAGAAGCTGCTGCAGCTGCAGCGAGCTGCTGCTGCAACTACGGCATACTGCAGCAGCAGCAACAGGTGCAACAAACCGCGGAAGCAGCAAAAGCAGCAAGCCGCAACAGAACGGCAGGCTGCAAGCGCGAAAAAACAGCAGCAAGCTGCAGCAGCAGGCAGCAATCGCAACAGCAGCACGCGCTGGCAGCAGCAAGCAGCAGCTAGCTGCGAAATTTGAGCAGCAAAATCGGGGAAACAAATAAATAAATAAAAATGCTAGTCCATTCTAACTGCTAGATAAACGAAAGCATAAGGGGAGTATCAACCAAGTTAAAAGCAGCAGCAGCAGCAGCAGCAGCAGCTGCTGCTGCTGCTGAGATGGTTCCTGCTGCTGCTGTCCTTAGTCCTGTTCGGTGCTGCTGGTGCAGCAATTTCTGTGTTGCTGCAGCTGCTACCGCTCCTCTGCAGCAGCACGCGATGCAGCAGCGGCAGCAAGCCTGCCGCTGCTGCGCGTGCTGCTGCAGCAGCAGCACCTGTCGCTGCAGCGCTGTTGCTCCAGCTGCAGCACGTGCTGCAGCAGCGCTGCTGCTGCAGCTCAGCCGTCAGCTGCTGCTACGGGTTAGCAGTTTGCTGCTGTTGATGATGAATTAACGAAAAGAAGTAAAAGAGACAGAAGGCGACAGGCAGCCAAAATTGTAACTACCGAAAAAACGCAAGAGCACTTCGATTTGCTGCTGCAGCAGCTGCCGCTGCTGCTGCTGCCGCTACTGCTGCTGCTGTCGCCACCGCACTGCCGCCACATCTCTACAGCAATGCCTCCTCCCCCACGGCAGCAGCAGCAGCAGCAGCGGCAGCAGCAGCAGCAGCAGCCCTCAGCTTTTCTTAGCAAGAGGCTCTGCTGCTGCAGCGCCGGCGGTCTGTTCAAGAGGGCACAACACAACTCTACATCATCGCAAAGTATAGGGCACTGGGGTTCTGCTGCACTGCAGCAGCAGCAGCAACCGCCGCCGCCGCAGCAGCAGCAGCAGCAACCGCTGCTGCTGCTGCAGGGGACTCGCAGCCTCCTTGCACGCTGCTGCAAAGCGGAGGCGCACTTGTCTTCAGCCCCCAAAAAAGCGGAAGTCTTAGTAGCGCAGCCGCCTCGTGCTGCTGCTGCTGCTGCTGCTGCTGCTGCTGCCGGGGTCTGTTTGGTAAACCCTCACGTTGCCCCTCCCGTCGTCTTCAGTCTGCGTCACTGTCCGGTGAGTAACTCCTGCAAGACGCAGCAAACCAACACGCATGCAGCAGCACTCAGCAGCAGCAGCAGCACTCAGCAGCAGCAGCAGCAAAACAGCAGCAGCAGCAGCGAAACAGCAGCAGCAGCGAAACAGCGGCAGCAGCAACAACAGCGGCAGCAAAAAAGCAGCATCGGCAGCAAAACAGCACCAGCAGCAAAACCGCGGCATCAGCAGCAAAACCGCAGCACCAACAGCAAAACCGCTGCATCAACAGCAAAGCCGCAGCAGCAGCAGCAGCAAAACCGCAGCAGCAGCAGCAAAACCGCAGCAGCAGCAGCAGCAGCAGACCGTCGGGGGTGGTGGTGACCTCCTCGGTGACGGTGACGGTGCGGCCGTTGACGAGTTTTGTGTGGGAAGAAACAGATCGGGAAAATCCGCCATTTCCAAAAGAAGAAGAAGAAGACATCATGAAGCCCCCGCTGCCCATCGACTGCATTTGCTGCTGCATGCCCCCTGCAGCAGCAGCAGCAGCAGCAGCAGCGGCAGCAGCGGCAGCAGCGGCGGGGGGGCACGTGGGCGCGCGGCGGCGGCGACGCGGGGCAGCGGTGATGCCGAGGCAGCGACAGAGCAGCAGCAGCGAAGCAGCAGCAGCAGCAGCAAGGGAGCAGCAGCAGCAAGTTGGAGCGGCGGCAAAGAAGCAGCAGCAGCAGCAAAGACGCAGCAGCAGGCACAAAGCAGCACGCAGCAGCAAGCCCGCAGGCACTACGGCTCAGCGAAGCAGCTATGGCCCCCCAAACCCACTGCACCCAATTGGGGTTTAGGGTTTAGGGTTTAGGGTTTAGGGTTTAGGGTTTAGGGTTTGGGAGCGCCTCGCAGCCCCAAACCCTAAACCCTAAATTCTACTCCCCACCAAACAAAGAAACCCCTTCCGCCCACTCCTCCCAACAGCCCAACCCCAAACCCTAAACCCTAAACCCTAAACCCTAAACCCTCGACGCCAAACCCTCGCCGTCCAAAAAGCGGCGTAGACGCTAAACCCCCGCCGCCCAAACCCTAAACCCTGAACTCTCTGCCTGAAACGATAAACCCTACACCCTAACCCTAAACCCTAAACCCTAAACCCTAAACCCTCACCGTCCAAAGGGAGAACCCCCAAAGGCCATTTCGAAGATGCGCTGCGCGTCGCTGAACTGGAAGGCCTCATGGAACCTTGCGAATTCTGCTGCTGCTGCTGCTGCTGCTGCTGCTGCAGCAGCAGACGAGGCAGTGCGCCGCAGGCCGGGCCCTTCTGTCGGCTGGGAGAAGCTGACTGCAGCAGCAGCAGCAGCAGCAGCAGCACGCACACGCGGCTCCAGATGCGTCTACATCCTAGGGTTTAGGGTTTAGGGTTTAGGGTTTAGGGTTTGGAACTCACTGTCGTAGAGCCGGCGCTTCTCGTCATTGGAAAGAACTTCATAAGCTTCCGAAATTGCTTTAAACCGCTCTGTTGCTTCTTGCTGCCTTTCCCTGTTCTTGTCTGCAGCACACACAACACTCTGCTGCTGCTGCTGCTGCTGCTGCAGCTGCTGCTGCTGCTGCTGCCGCTGCTGCAGCTGCTGCTGCTGCTGCTGCTGGCCTGCTGCGGGAAGCTTCTCCAGGAATTCCTCTTGAGGACATATCTGGCTCCGGGTCCTTCGGGCCGGGTCTATCGCCCGGAAGTGAGGGTTTAGGGTTTAGGGTTTAGGGTTTAGGGTTTGGGGACCTGGGTGCCACTTGATGGCCAGCTTTCTGTAGGCCTTGCGGATTTCCTCAGAGCTGGCCCCCCTAGAAACCCCCAAAATGGCGTAATAGTCTGAAGTGTGGACTTCCATGGTGAAGGGCCTGCTGCTGCTGCTGCTGCTGCTGCTCGGGTGTATGCGGACCTTTGCTGCAGTTGCGGTGTACGTACACCTCGGGAAGACAGCGCCGCGGCCCGAGACGGCCTCCTCTTCCACGCGGAAACCAAGAAGCAGCCCGCTGCTGCAGCTGCTGCTGCTGCTGCTGCTGCTGCTGAGACTGCTGGCTCTCGCCGTCCCCGGCTGCTGCGGCAAAAGCGGAGTACCTATGCAGTGTAAGTGCTAATAAAAGACAAGATAAGAGAAGAAAAGAGAAACTGATGAGCGGCAGTCGCGAGGGCCCCCGGCTTTCTACAAACGCCACCTTTGGGGTGTATGTACAGCCTCCACTTCACGCCAGCAGCCCCCCGATGGCGTCGCGTATTCAGTTCCCTTTTTATATTTAAAAACTCCCAAAAAGGACTTCTTTTTCAATCCATTTCCCAATGTAAACAAGATTCGCCGGTTTTAAAACCAAGTCTGCCTTCGGTGTGCCGCGTTTAGCCGCGAGAGGCAGCACCAGCTCAACCGCAGTGTATCTGCGCCCGCTGCCTGTTCAGCCCCCAATTTTAATTCTTTTCCCGCCAGATTTATTATTTTTATTAATTAATTGCACTATGGAATTCCGTTTGAAAGTTCAGAAGGCTCGCGGCAGCGCAGGCGAGGGCTGCGCGCTCCAGGCCGCGTGCTTGCTGCAGCCCAGCAGCTTTTTCCCTCTTTGTCTCACCACTACTAAACTTCCCACTAAACTGGGCCCTCTAGCCTACCAAGGGGGACTCTGCTTTGCTCCAGTTGGGGGCTGGAGGCCCCCGGAAAGCCAGCCTCTCAGTGCGCTGCTTTGCTGCTGCTGAAGCGCAGCACAGTGGCCACACAGCCACAGGGCTGCAGCCAGGGGCAAAGTAGGAATAGGCGCGCATGCAACTGGGGGGCCATCGGGGCTTTGCTGCGCCTCTTGGGGCTTTGCTGCGGCCCCCTGGGGCCTCCAGGGGCCCCCAGCAGGGCTTGGGGCCCGGAGAGTGGCCGGGGGGAGTTGCAGTTTAGTGGGGAGTTTGAGTTTTGGGGCTGAGCCGTCCTGCGTATTTCTGACAATAAGTGCAGCAAACCAACCACGTGGGAGGGCACAAGTCCTCCAGTTCTCCAGAACAGAAAAAATGCGCCAAGACGCCTTTAGGGCAGTAGCTCGGAGCCTAGTGCTGCGGAGCAGTATCATTAAAGGCAGAGTTTGAGTCGTTTGGTGTGTCACTAACACTCCGACAGCAGCAGCACCCCCAAAACCAGCGATGATGCTGCTGCTGCTGCTACTGTCAAGGTGTTGCTGACCCCAGTAACACTCCGTCAGCAGCAGCGGCCCTAGTAACAGTGAGTGGTTGTGGTGCGTATTTTGTTACATAGAGGGATAATGGCATCAGTATCATTTCCCGTGCTGCTCCCCTACAGATTAGTCGCACCTCTAGAGAAGGCGGTGCAGCCCAGCCGAAGCGTTTTGACTTCGGTAAATGCCCCTTCGCTGAAGGCCAGCATGGGACTTTCTGCCTTCATTGAAATCCACTGCACACAGCGTGTCTTCCAGAGTCTCCAGGCTCTCATACTTGCTTTATAATCTTATATTCAATTTTATTCGATTAGAGACATGGTTCCAACACCAGAAAAGTCACTGAGGCTTTGAAGAGATTCAGATGATGGAAGTTAGCTCTAACTGCGCAACTGTGCAACTCCGTGTTTTCCGCTTTTTGGCGTATTATGAACCAAGAAACGGCGCGCTTAAGCCTTAGTGTACCTGCAGAAGAGTGCAGCACAAATGGAGAGACAGCAGCCCAAGGGCTGTGAAATTTAATAAAGATCGTTTCTTGACTGGTCAAGGGCTATTGCTGGTCGATTGATTTCGTTAGGACATACAAGGAGAGGAAAAGAGCTGGAACAAATGAACCAAAAAGGGCCCTAGCGACAGTGAGCACGGGGCATCTAAATACTAGTTGCAGCAAACGACTTTCAAGCTTTGCTTTGACTCCGCGCAGCCTACGCCATGGCAGCCTCTGTGCCTATAGAAGCATGCTATCATGGACCCCCCTGCCACTTCCCTTTAAAACTCCCCTAGTTTCTTACTCATCAGCTGTGTGGGCTTGCCATCGCAGAAGACGCCTTGCCTCAAGAGAGTCAAGCAAATGCATTGGCCCCGAAGGCCCCGAAGTCCAAACTAAACTTGAGTTCAGCTTGATGCATAGATAGCTGCCTGTAGTATGCTGCATTGCCTGCTTGGCTGCTATCGCACGGAAAGGCAGCTTTTGGTTTCATTTGTACAAATCGCTCCTGCAATTGTCGGAGAAGATTAAGCTATTGCAGAACTTTACATACGGAACAGAGTAAAACACTCATCGGATTTCACTGTTCCACAACACAGGATTTGACCTGGAAAAATTTCCTTTCACCACCAAGTGAAGTCAAAGAAACTTACGGGCCAAGTCTGCGCTGCCATCTCTTTGTGTCTTCTCAGGAAATGCTCCCAATAGAGCTGTCGGCTCGTGGTTAATCTAATTTCTTTGTGAAGTGTAACACACAGTGGACTGATTCAGAGTGTACATAAATGGAGAGCCCGTGAAGAACTGTGGCTTTATCATATTTTATCCTGGACATCAATTTGATTTAATGCCTGGGCGATGAATATTGACCAGCCAAATCGGCGGCAGCTTCTCCGCACGGCAAAACAATTTTCAGACGACGAATGCTAATATCCAGCGGAAAACAGCTCTGCAGTTGTCTAGGCGGCAGCAGGCGCTGTGGCCGGTGTGCAGGGAAGACTGAGTACCAAACAGGCTACAAAGAAGATATTACTGTTTGAACCAATGAAACATATTTTCGGAGCACATTGTTTTACGATAAGTTAAAGAGTCAAGATAATGAGATATCCTTTGCCATAGCACTACTGGAAATTTGGGCTGAGAAGATTTGAAGGCTTTTTGAAGTATAAATTGGGAAAGGGAATTTTGCTGCACAGCGTCAAGACTGCGATATTCCTGGTACCCGTCAGATGCACAGCTGCTTTAGCGCCTAGAATTCCCGTCAGATCTGAACTACTTGAATCACTAGAGTACCTTCCTGAATTAAATTAACTTTTTCGAGTTTTTTGAGCACAAAATCTCGCCCAATTCAGGGCAGTAAATGGAGGAATGGCATTAGCCCGACAGGGGCAACAATAGTAGAGCCGGATGTCCTAATCAAGAGCTTTGAATTCAAGAATTTCGATATCAACGCGAGGCATCCCCTTGGATGATGCAGAAAAGCTCATAGGTGCAGACAGCAGGGCTATTTCAAGTGGTGTCCTTTGCCCAAATGATACAGCGTTTACCAACTCAGATACACGCGTAGGTTTGTTGCTTTCTTTGTAAGGAAAACCAGGAAGCGACAGTTTTTCTGGCGAAGTCAATGTTTTCTTCAGAGATGGCCATTTTCACGGCGAAAGATGCTTCGCGGGCCCTACTCCCTCGGCGCTGGTCTCTTCTTGGCTCGAGGACCAGTAGTCCAGAGAAGTTTCAGTTTTCTTCCTTGGTGGAGTTGCACAACCATTCCAGAACCTCAAGCTCCTAAATACTTAACAACTCATTAATGGTATTCGAGTTGACACACGTTTGAAGAGCTAGCAGCTGTGCGAATTTGTTGGTCCAAGCGACCTTCTTGTAAATGTCACACCCCGCACCTGTAACGCGAGTAGTTCTGCAGCGCCGTATTTTTCGCCAGAAGCTGAATGCATGCAAGTGGGCCTAATGGGATATTCCCATACCCCGCAGATTCAGCCTTAGGCGTCCACCGGCGGCATCTCGCTTTGTGCGTTTCAGCAGCAGCCCCACTCGCGAGAACTGCCAGCCTGAGCCAGCCGTCTGGGTCCGTCGCAGCCCCACGGCTTGAGGGCCACCGCCTTGCTGCGCAGGCCCCAGTGGAGCGTCCGAGCTTTTGAGGGAGAGAAGGAACAAAAGGAATTGCTCACCTTGTAGGCAAATGCCGCAACTTACGGACTAGAGCGTGCCCTCTGCACCTTGACGAGAAGTGTCAAGCCTCGGCCACCACACTATTTCTGTAGTGATGTATAAGCGGTTGAGAGGTTGAGACGCGGATTGAGCGCTGTAACCTCTTACTACTGAAGTAGAAATACAATTTATTAGCAAATTAACATGCATAAATTAGAGGTCCCTGCGAATGCTCGAAGATTGGGGCTGCCGACAACGCCGGCACCGGTGCGCGTCATATCCTCACCGGACCAGCAGAGCAAGAACGATAAGAAACGACATGTATGAGAAATGTGGTTTTGAGAACTTGAAACAAACGAACTTTCTAATAAATTGGTAGATATTACGCGACAGACGCGCCAGTAACAGAGAAGATTTCATTGGATGCCAGAGTTGAGGGTTGTGCAGCATCGTAGAGTAGTGCACAGGCACTACAATGGTGCTGGCTTGTGTCCTAGAGATGATAGCTAGCTAGCGACCTACAAGGGGTCGCGACACTGGGGGAAGACAGAGCCCTCCCAAGGGGATAAAAATAAGAAAAACCGTCTATTAGTTCTCATGAATACGTGAAATGTGCGGAAATTTTGTGGAGACTGGGGCTGGCGAAAGCGCTGGCACCAATGCGGACCTCCTCCCCATATGGCCCAGGAGGTGAGCTCCGAGAAGGGGGCGAATCGGCGAGACAGATTTAAAAACACTTTTAGAATTGTCGTATTTCGATGGAATAAGGCAATAGAGACCGAGAAATGGGGCTGTACTAGGCGTAGTATGTAGACCTGTTAGAGGGGCAGGAAGCAGCGTAGTCGCATCAGTAGGCGCCGCGCACTACAGTAGACGTTGTAGAGAACACAGTGTACTAGGATTTCCCGAGCGGCCTCCTCAATAGCGCCACTTTGCCCAGAAACTGCGGGGCCGTTTGAATGGGAAAAGCCTGGAAAGGGCCAGAGGGGCAGAAAGCTCCGCTGATGGAAATGGGCTTTGACCTTACCAGCTGTCCCA